ATGGTCCGACGAAGTGACGCGTTATCAAGCTCTGAATAAGTTGAAAGGTTCCGCTAAGGTTTGGTACGACTCTTTATTACGTACCGAAAACGGTTGGCCGTCTTGGAAATGGCGCGATTGGAAGCGAAAATTAACGGGTAGTTTCCAAATACGTCGGAATATGTTCGAATTATTACACGACATAATTGATAAGAAACCCGTCGAAAATCAGTCTTTATACGAATTTTACTTTGAACAAAAGTGCAAAATAGATAAATTATCGTTAAATTTCACCGAACAAGATGTAATTTCAATTATAGTTGGAAATATAGGCGATAGTGGTATTGGTGCCTCAATAGAAGCCAGTAATTTCGTATCTTGCGATAATTTAGCTAGTTTTTTGCATGGTCGTGTATTTAAATCAAAGAATACGAAACAGTTAGGTACGAATGTGCGCGACGTTCAGTCTAAGACGTTGCAATTGCATAATTCTTCAAATAACTCTAATCTAGTAAACACAACAACAAATACAAATATCCAGTCAAGTTCCTCCAGTAGCAGAACACACGACACAGTTCAGGCAAAGAGCCGTAAACAGATCAAGTGTTACCTCTGTGGAGGTAATCATAAGCGTAACCAGTGCGATATAAACAAATGTGACTTTTGTGGTAAAAAGGGTCATCTAGAATCTGTATGTTTTCATAAATTAAACGTAACAAAATCCGAAAATAAACAGGAAACTAAATTCATATTCACTGTTTCCAATGTAGACCCCAGAAAAAAATTTGTCAAAAATATTTCAATTAATGGTTTTAAACATGAAGCGTTTATTGATACAGGAAGTAGTTGTTCATTAATGTCAGAATCACTGGTAAATCAGACCCATTTGACCGCCGTTAAACTCACTTCTCCTGTTTTACTTCAAGGTTTTTCAAAAAACAATTCTAAAGCGGTTACCCACAGGGTATCGACTGACCTGGTAATGGATTCTGTGCAGGTAAAAAATATTGACTTTTACGTTATAGATGATTTAGTTGATTGTAACTTGCTTATTGGAAGGAATGTGACAGAACGGTCTGACTTAATGTACTCTCGAGTAGGTGACATATTCAAATTTGATTATGCAAAATCATTTTTAGAATTTTGTCATAATATAAAAGAGTCCGATTTAGATACTGACACACATCACAATGAGTTGATAGCGCTCTTTAGAAAGTATAGTGATTGCGTTGCATCAAATATAAGAGAGTTAGGTAAAGTGAGTGGTCATGAAATGATGATTAATTTGATTGATTTGCGCCCGGTTCAATGCAGACCCTTTAGATCCTCCAATTCGGACAGGAAAATTATCCGCGAGACAGTTAATGAATTACTAGAAAATAAGATCATACGTGAAAGTAACTCGCCATACGCGAGTCCTGCCTTGCTTGTCAATAAAAAGAACGGAGAAAAAAGACTTTGCATTGACTACCGTGCGCTTAACAAAATAACTGTCAAAGACAAGTTTCCTATGCCTAGAATTGAAGATCTGGTAGATAGGCTTCAAGGCTATACATATTTCACTAGTCTGGATCTTAAAAGCGGGTACTATCAAATAGCTATGCATCCTCAATCAGTAAGTAAAACGGCGTTTATAACTGAAGACGGCCACTATGAATTCCTCAGGCTCCCATTTGGTTTGCCAACAAAAGTCAGTAAGTTGTAAGAGCGCGTTAGCAAAACGCCCGATGAACGCTCGTTATGTGAACATGGTCTATTCGACTCTTCGTCGTGCGAGATGATGGATGACGTCACAGTGGTCCTCTGCACTTATGCACTACTTTTGTTGGAGCTCCAAAATATTCACCGTCACTATCAGTAATAAGCAGATAATAAACGACACAAAATAGTCAATAATCAAAATGTCTAGGTTAGGTTAGTTCTTCGTCGCGAAAGTGCGCACAGAAAAAGCATCCAGTCCAGCACGTAGTGGAGACTGTTCTAGGGCGGCCTCTTGAACGAATCTTAGAAAAAATGCAGGTAAAATTATATCGTGATCCAGCGGCGTATTTACAATGTTTTGTCCAAACGCAAAATAATTAAAGGTCGTTTACATATTTACGAACACTAAATAAAGTAAAGTATTATAATACCCCATTTTCTTCAAGATAAATATAAAAGACTATTCCCATTATTTGCCGTTGTTGCCCCAACTAAGAATAGAATTAAATTCGTTCAACAAAGTCCTTTATTTCAAAGTAAAGTAAGCTGCTGGTATTTATAACTCTGAGAATAGATGCTCAGGCAGATTGAACTTCGATATTTGAAAATTATAGAATTTAATGGTTCTGTAGCATCGAGTATATTATATACTCGATGTTCTGTAGTATTCGAAAGTCGAATTTTCCATTGGAGTGATTACTGTTGGAAATATATTGAAACGAATTGGTCGTATAAGTGAACTGTAACGGAGTAATAAAAACTTAATGATTGTTTTATTGTCGACTGCAATTTTTTTTAAGCCTATACTGTCCCACTGATGAGCAAAGGCCTCCGTCCCCTCTCTCCACACCTCTCTGTTTTGTGCCACTGAGGTCCATTCCTTTAGGTGCACGTCTAGCACGTCTCTCCATCGACCCTTTGGCCTGCCGCATGGTCGTTTTCTATCTCTGGGGATTCAATCTGTGGTTGTCTTCGCCCATGACTCTTCTGACATGAGGCAGTTGTGACCCGCCCAGTCGCATTTTAGTTTACCGGCTTGTTGGCCCACATCTACGATTCGTGTTTTGGATCGCAGATCACTGTTCCTAATTTTTACTGTCACTTCAATTAAGTTTAGCTATTTTAAAAGTATATGAATGGGTTGCCGTATATTATACCGAGCCATCACGGAACACTGAATAGCACTATAGCACGAGGTTTGGACTCGGTTGAATGCAGAGCCGGGAGACTTAGTGGTGACGATTAGCTTGAATCTAAACTACAGTTTAGCTCACTGGCGTAAAGTTGCCTGTCTGTCGGTTGTCTACAGAATATATTTCGGTATGCCCATGAGCTCCATCGGTTCATCCCGCCTGCCCCCTTTCGCATCGGACATCATCCTTACTTGATCGATATTCGCTTCAGGGGTACTAAGCGCTTTCCGTCATCTGTTATTATGCGCACAGCTCAGGAAGGGAATTTTCTGCCTGCGACCTGAAATACAACCCGAGTATTTTTAAGGTGCGACTGAATAGGTATCTACTGGGGCTCGATCCATCGTAGATCCTATCTTAGCTCCAGGGCTAGGTCACTACCTTGATCACTGTCAAGAGCAAGTCCATTTACTAAACAAAAAAAGGCTTCGGTTCTTGAAGACTACGTATACGTAGTAGTTTCGCGTTATAACGCGAAAGTTAACTTATGTTTTTTATTTCTTTAGAAACTTCATAAAATACATAAAAAAATAAATTAAAGCTTCCAAGTACCGAACACTAATTAAGAAAATTCCATTTCAACTACGGAATTATAAAGTTAGTCAAGTGTAGGCTGTTATATTGGAATGGTTACAGTTATTTTATTATAAGTCTAGAGAACGACTTTAGAAAATAAAAATTTGAATAATTTATAATAATTTCTTTGGGTCAAAATATTTTTTACTTTCAAACTTTATTTTTTGCAGATATTATAAACTGGATGATATAAATTTAATATTATTAAGCAGGTAATCATAACTTTATGCGTATAAACAAATGCAAATTATTTTCTGTGCTCTTTAGCTTTTTTGCTGTAGAAGCAAATTGAATTTGCTTGTGAGATCTACTCTTAAAGATAATTTCTACTTTCAGTTTACTGAAAAATGAAAAAAGATTTTTCAATTAAAAATAAATCCGGTCAAATCCGGGTATAACACGCGCAACGAGGTTGGGCTAAGGTACCTGTTACCTTATGTGACGAGCAGTAACTGATGTTGGTGCTTTGTTGTTTATTCTCAAAATTGATTAAATCCTTTTCAATTACATTTTATATTCCTGCCTTGAAGGTTAGAAGATTATTTAGAAGTATGAATAGTTTCAGATTTTTCGACTTATAAATCTCATAATTATTGTATATCGAAGAGGGGCTTTTCAGGCATATTTCTGTCAATATGTCGATAACTGGTGAGTAGCAGTAGAGCTCCTTGTGAAAGAATTCGTCCAGGGAAATACTGTCACCTTACCTATATCTGCCGCCAAGCAGTAATATGTACAGGCACATGGGGTTTATCAACTTATGTGTCAAGGTGATGGGCGCAGTAGGAGTGCCCCTCAGATATTTGTTATTTAGAGCTCTGAGTGTCACGCTTTCCACCAAGTGCACAATTAAATTTTTTATTATTAAAGATTAAAAAACTAGGTATTAGTGTGTGTATGTGTCGCTGTGGTCAGCTTCTTATCTTCTCCTTTGTCCACTCGTTTCCTGCCTATCGTAAGCTTCTATGTAACACGGGGCGAAATGAATGGCTTTATTATATCTTGTAAAAATATTCGTACATTGTTTAGGAACGTCTGTTACAGTAGGAGTTTGCAGTGTAAGTGACTCGATACAATTCAAAATTCAAAATTATAAAAAAAGCGTTAAACGACTGCGCCACTCATTCAACGCTATAGTGAATATTTTCCGGTAGATGTCATCACCGTATACGCGTTAACATGCCGCTGGCCTTGGAAAGTCCATTTCCAATAGAAGTTATATGCTACTGTCATCGTATGTGTTACTAGGTACGTGTACATCATCATCAGATTGTACCGGAAGGGGGTAGATCTTCGATCTTCTGCACGAGACACGCTGTCTTTTCCGGGATAAGTGCGCACGATCCTGCCAAGCCGCCATTTCGAAGGGTGCAAATTGTCCTCCTTGATCAGCACGAGCATGTTTTCTTGGAGGTTCTGTGAGTGCGCCTTCCACTTGGTGCGGGTCTGCATTTCAGCCACGTACTCCAGCGGCCACCGCTTCCAAAAATGTTGTCGCATCTGCTCGGTTCGATTGTAGCGAAGCAGGCGATGTCCTCATCGCCTGCTTCGCTACGATCGAAGCGCAGCTTCCGTCAAGTCGTCGCAAGCTGGCGCGGTCACGGGCCTTCCTATGAGGAAATGGGCTGGACTAAGAGGGGAAAGGTCGTTAGGATCTGTTGACAGAGGTCACATAGGTCGGCTGTTGAGAACAGCTTCAATTGAAGTTAAAACAGTTGTGAATTCCTCAAAGATCAATCGAGCATTCCCTACGATTTTACGAAGGTGATGTTTCCACGACTTGATTCCAGATTCCCATAAACCACCAATATGAGGACTATATGGATATATGAATTTAAATTTAATATTCTCATTCGTTGAAAAATCTATAATTTTATTCGAGTTATTTTTAAGGAACGAGCAAATTTCTTTTTCCTCTCCTACAAATGTTTTTCCGTTATCGGAATGTATCTCTGCCGGTTTACCACGGCGAGATATAAATCGTTTTAATGCTAAAATGTAATCATTGGTCGAGAGATTGCTAACCAACTCTAAATGTACAGCGCGTGTTACAAAACAAACAAAAAAACAAATGTAGCCTTTAACTAATCTACTACCACGGCCTTTTCTATTAAGAATCGTTACAGGTCCTGCATAATCAACACCACAACACATAAACGGATAACCTGGATGTAGACGCTCAGCAGGTAAGTTACCCATGATAGGAGTCAAAGTGTTACCCTTCATACGCGCACAAGTACCTAACGCATTGTCTAACTACTTTTCTAGCTAGGTTTCTGCCGCCTATAGGCTACCAACACTCACGCACGACACCTAACAGTAGCTGCAGACCGGCATGTAATAATCGTTTATGTTCGTCTCTAAACAATAACAACGGGAAATGATGTTTACGACACAACAAAACCGGATGCCTTTTGGCATAACTATATTCACTCGCATTCGGTGGCAGATTGTATTCGACAATCTCCGAGTCGTATAAGTTGGTCTTTGTCTAAAAATATATTAAGTCCCGATATCCTACTGTTGCGTTTAACAGGAATAGGTAATATGTAATACTAAATTATGATACGCTTGAGGAAACATTTGCCTCTGTGCTATGATAATCAACAAGCGTTCGGCCGCTCAGAGGTCATCGACTGACAACGAACCGGTTTGACGATGTTGTTTATGTTCCGCTCGTGCATTGTTTAGGAATCTAAGTATATAGGCTGTAATTCTTTTTAACTTATAAAAACTCGAATATCTATTAAAATTAAATTGACTCATGTTTTCCATGCTTGTCAAAGCGACAGCCTGGGATTTAAGCTCCGGCAATTCATGCGAATTAAGAGTAGGTCTATAGGACGGACTTTCCAAAATGTTTTGTAAAAATGACGGACCGTACCACCAACTACTATTCTGACCAAGTGCGTTTAGGTCAAAACCCCTAGATACTAGGTCTGCAGGGTTCTCCGTGTCGTTTACATGTAACCAGATTGAGTCACCCGTTAATTCGTTAATTTCGGACACCCTGTTTTGAACGAATTGCTTTAATAAGTGCGGAGACATACGTAACCAACCAATGACTATGGTGGAGTCTGTCCAGAAATAAACCCGATCGAATTTTAGTCTGAGGGACTGTACAATTTTGTGATACAATCTCGCAGCTATCAATGCACCTAATAATTCTAATCTAGGAATACTGCTTTTAGCGGGGCTACTTTACTTTTGGCACAAAGTAATTTTACCGATAGGGAAGAATCATTATAAGTTCGTACATACGCGCATGCACCATAAGCAACTTGGGATGCGTCGGAAAATATGTGGAGTTCCGTATGTTGCGTATGCTCACGTCGTATGTAACGCGGAACCCTTAAGTTTTGCAAACTATCCAGCGTACCAATAAAACTATGCCAAGTTCCAATTAAATCATCGGGCACTGGGTCATCCCAACCTATTTTACAACTTACCATACCATAACTTTTGTAATACTATTTTTGATCAAATAACCGCCGGCGCTAATAGATAGATAATAAATCTGTGATATTGCAGACAACATGACACGTTTTGTTAAATTAGACGTATTTTCTATTCGCGTTGTGAAATGTAATTCATCACTATTACTGAATCAACCTAAGCCGAGCGTGTTGTTCTGTTGATGCTCACCTATGGACTCTTTAGAAACAGTTGACGTAACATCAAGATTGAAAGTCCACTTTCTGAGAGGAAAGCAACCTGATCGAAGCACCTAGGAGATCTTGTCGCACGTGTGTAGCAAACCCTGAGCGTCATCTGAACCGGTAATTAGGTCATCAACGTAAAAATAATCGTTAATTATTTTTGAAACCTCAGGGTCGTCACAACACTTCGCGAGTTCCTTTATACAACGCATGCTGAGATATGGCGCTGAGGAAGTGCCTTACGTCACCATGTTAAGTTGGTGAATACCTAACGGTTGAGAGGGACGATCGCGTCAAAGGCTTAATTGTAGATTTCTCTTATCAGACTGTACTAAAATTTGGCGAAACATTTTCTCCACGTTCGCACGGGCCACGTACTTATTCTGTCTGAATCGTAATAAAATCGAAAAATATCAGTTTGCAATACTTTGCAAGAGACCTATTTGACGTAGTTTTAAAGCTGCCATCAAAAACTACCCGTAATTTTGTTGTCGTCGAGCTATCCCGAAATACGCCATGATGAGGAAATAAAAAATATGGCGATCCGTATGACTCAACACGACTCATGTGACCTAAGTCTAAATATTCGTGTATGAAATCACTATATAATTTCTTATAATAAAGTAAACGTTGAAATTTACTTAAATCTCGACTTAGCCCTTTCATATGACTCTCCGAGAGAATCAGCTGGTTCCTTTAAAGGAAGTCGAACACAAAACCTATCGTTACTATCGCGTATTGTCGTATTACAAAATATTTCTTGGCTTTTACGCTCATCTAATGTGAGTGTATTACACGATTTTGGCACCTCTTCTAGTTCCCAAAATCTTTTCATTCGCATATCAATCGTATTGGTAAAGTTACATTGAACCTCGTAATTCGTTGTACCACCTTGAATGCCGCCTGATATTAACCAACCCAACTTAGAGCTTTGTAAATACGGCCCGCACGCTAATCGTATCCTTTCTCCATCTAACAACTCCCAGAATGTATCCATTTCTATCAGAACGTCTATGTCTAAGGGCACGTTAAACGTAAGATCTGCAAGAGATAAGTCCTCCGGTTATACATAACGTAGTTAGGTCTATATACGCTACGGGCATCATAAATGTGATACACGGGAGAACTAAACACCTTAGATGTGTATTATAATCGCATGACTATGATCGCATATGAACATCGCTTAATAGACTCGAGTTAGTGACCGATTGTCCTACAACCCGAGAACGAACAGTGGACTGTATAAGAGGAAGATTTAATCGTTTACATAAACTATCAGTAATAAAACAATGCTGGCTACCACTATCAAGCAACGCACGCGCGCGGTGATATTCGTTTTCGGCATCAGCAATTTCTATTACCGCGGTGACCAATAAAACCGGTTGCAAACCTCTTGACTTGGTTTGCACGCTATTGTCGCACCCAATTATTCGCATATTAATATCGCATTTACTATGAAGTGCAGCCGACACATTCCGCACGTTTTTATCAGCCGCCGGTCAATTCCATGCTCGCGCGGTGGACGGTGCATCCACATTATTTTCTAAATGCAACTTTAACAACAATTCTAAATGCAAGCCGTTATGATTTTGTTGGCATTGTGTGCAAGGATCGAATGTACAAGCAGAAATAGAATGCCCCGATCGTAAGCAATTCGAACACAAGTTACTTTTCGCGACAAACTTAATTCTATCTCGGACCGGTAAATTTAAAAAACGTATACAAGTATAAAGTGCATGGTTCTCTTGACACATTACACAAATACGAGTTTGTTTCTCCGATTGCTTATTCCGCGTATTTACATAGCTATGAACGTGTTGTTGTGATTTAAACAGACTTTTCTTAGGTTCATTATTGGATAGTTTGCTTTCTTGTTGGAATTTGCTTATGTGAGTGTTTTTATTATGACTCAAACTTATCATTTCCAACATGTCTACTCTATTTTTCAAAAAAGAAAGCAAATGTTCCAAGGTTAATGACTCACTGTGCAGATCGGTGTGATAGAACCTTTGTAATTTTTCTACTCTCTCTCCGTGGTTGAATCTAGTTTAGTGACAATTAAATAAATAATTAAAGTGTCCCATGAGTCGGTGGGCTCACCAATAGATTTTAAAGCGCGTAAATTTCTATTCATGGTATCTATCAACTTTCGCATCTGCGCAGGAGATTCCTGTTGAATAGATTGAAGAGTAAACAAAGATTTCACGTAATTGTGAATTAAGAGACGATTATTATGGAATATTTAGCATATTATATTATAATAGCAGTACCACTTAAAGACGATCGTAAATAATGGAATTTCTGTATAGGATCCAAATCAACGCGATTATGTATAATGGTGATATAAGAGTTTTTAAATTCTAACCACTGATCATAAGAACCATTAAAGGTGGGTAGCTTAATCTCCGGTAATTTAACTGACAAAAGAGTTTCGCACTTAGAATTAATTGTACTAGTCTCATCAACCAATTTACATTTAGCAGAAGCCAAAATATTAAAATATAGTCGTTCAAAATGATCGCGATATTCTAAGTAACTAAGCAAATCGTTTTCATCGACCTTTGCTTCGATCTCCGACTGAATGCCGTTAAATGATTTAAATAAATTCTCAAAATCTATTATTCGTAACTGCAATTTAGCCCTATCGCATTTAAAGTTTGGTTTGCAATCTCGTTAGTATATTTTTGAAACAAGGTTAACCGTAACTTGGTCGCACCTCTTTGTCTCCTGAGGTCGGCCAAGTAATCGACACTTTTTTCACGTTTATGCGGAGATTTTGACACTTTTAACTTAGAATTATCTGCAGCCTGCATAAATTCATCGTCACTCATATTGGTAGCTTAAAGAAATAGGAACACTTTCCTGACCCGTAGAGGTCGCACAGAGGTCGCGGTCGAAAATGCTCGATATAACACGGCGCACATACTGCTGGAATGAGAAATCACAACACTCGATTAATTAATTTACTTTAGGATGGGAATGGGAAAAGGATTAGA